ATACGTAGTTGTACGTAAAAATGAAGAATACATACCGTTGAGGAGTAGGGCTAGCTACAGGCGAAGAACTTTCTAATAGGAATGCTGGCGGTGGTGGAAGATTTTCAGTATCGTCGCAAATATTTTCTATGTTTTCTTCGTTGGGATTAGTTACAAGACTACTGAAGGTAGCTGTAATAATAGTAGATGTACGTCTTGCCGGCGGAGGTGGCCTAGTAGCTTGCTGCATTGATCCTCTCCGCGAAAGTAAAGTCGATGCAGCTGCAGGTACATTCCAAGTATTTTCAGTCTGATTATGAGTAGAATGGGAATGCGGTAAAGTAGTCTGACTTCCATATCCACTACTTGATTCTACGCTTGATTCCGAAGTTTGGCTTCCTCCATCTTTTTCTGTACCTTCGACCTATATATATTTTACATAAAATAAAATCATACATATTTTATTCGTAAACAATAGAAATTAAAATAAGACCTTTAGCCTTTAAAAATATACCTTGTCATTTCCTGATGCTGGCATTGAAGGAGGAGGTGGTAAAGGAAATTGCATTTCTTGTGCACGACTAGCAGCCAAGTTTGCCAATTCATGCATGTTTACATACATTGGTTGCTGAAGTTGATGTGTAGCTAATTCTGTATCACATTATAAAATTTGATTCAATGTAAATAATTAAATATTGTTATAAAATAAAATTATAGAAACCTTTTGCTAAATGAGCTGGAAGCGGTAATTTCGGTTTTCCCCGTGGACTACTAGGTGGTTCAGTTTTTACTGTTGTAGATGGTCGTTCTAGGCTAGAACATCTATTAGGTATAGGTGGACGATTTCCATTATTTCGACGCAATTGTATTCTTGATAACTGTTGATTAGAGGAAGAGCATGATGAGGAAGAAGAAACTGGAGAAGCTGGCTGACTGTGACAACAATTATTTCCCTCTTGATCAGGTGCTTGGAATGTGTAAACACTAAGAGCAGGTCTCTGATGCCCCTTTTCATAAGCTGAACCAATGATTAATTGATATAATAATAATAATAATAATAATAATAATAATAATAATAATAATAATAATAATAATAATAATAATAATAACAACAATAACAATAATAATAATAATAACGATAATAATATAAATCTATGTCGTAAATATAGTCCATTACATATATATAATCATTTATTACCAGAAGAGATTGTATGAGGCCTTTCATTAATTGTATTTTGGCTTTGTCTATCATACGTAGTAGAAGTTTCCTGTAAATCAGGCCAAGTTGAAGTAGTTACAGGTCTTGTTACAGTACATCCAGTACTTTGATTATATTGAGAAGAGACATTTGATACCTATAAGAATATATTAATTTTAAAGGTAATAAAAACAATAAGTATATAATTTATTGTAACAAACAAGCTTCTATAAAATAAACAATGAACAATTCTAGTAAGCCACTAATTGTGAACAACTTTACCTGATGTTCAGAAATAGGTTGTGTATATAACGTATCTTGAGAAGTGAAGCCAGAATCACGGGAGCTGCCATTTGTTAAATGACGCAACATTGCCATACTGCTGATGCTGGAAGGCCTGGCACCAACGGACTACAACGAGTATAACATCGACTACCACATACACTAAGCAGGTAGCCGTCATGCCATAATCTACGAGCAACTACCTTAATTGTGCAAAAGTAATGCACTAGCAGTGACACTAAATAATCATGCACTATACATAATTTAATATCTAATATCTAAATTCTTTAAAAATGAAAAAAGAAACTATAATTCAACACATAGATCTCAATCAATCTCTATGTACCTGAGAAAGGGATCTGTGCCATGGATGTCCAGATGGACTTGGATGACTTTTACAAGATCCACTGCTACTGCTTGTTAAAGAACTGATTGAACACATAGAGCTTTTTCTTGATCCTAAAGATAAAGAAGGGCTAGAAGGAGGAGTTGCTAATGACCATTGTGTAACATCGCAGCCTTTTATATCCGTTATCACTTGTTCAGATGCAGGTGGTAGATGATGTGGTGAAGCTGCATGTCTTTGCAATTGATCAGAAACTTCTTGAAGATGTGTCAATTCCATTAACATTGCAATCTCCTCATCCTTCATTTTGTTTATAAATTTACACATATATCATTTCTAATACAAACATATGATTACAAGCATAAATAATATAGTAATGTTACTCACAAGTACTGGTTTTAAAAATCTAGCTAATAGACAGAATCTACCACGTTCTTCAAGCAAAGCTGCACGCACTGCCTTTCTTTCAGTCTCTTCCAAACTTAAACGTTTTTCTTGAATGACTGCAGCAGAAGATTCTAACATTTTATTAAACTCAGAATCACTTTGTACAACACCATGAATTTGCCCTTGTGTCTGAGTATGAATATGAGAAGTTTGACCCTTCCGACCCTTTTTCTTTTGCAATCGCAATGTATCAGTTGATCTTTTCTTTAATTCTGCTCTTGCTTTTTTATATTCTGAAAATTTTCTCTATGAGTATACGAATCCAGGAAGTTCTACAATCTATTATCGGATTTTGTTTTGAATCTTGTACAAAATTTTACCTTTGGCATGTTCCTTATCTAAATTAATCAAAGATCTTTTCCAGTCTTCTATTTTTTCTTGAAGTGGCATTACCAAGCGATCCATAATAGCACTGATTAAAAATACATTCAATATACATATATACAACATACATAAAAAGAAAGTATAAGTTACCATATGATTACATGTTATTAATATTACCTTGTAAATGATTTCATACGATTTTCAACTGCTTTATGCCTTAAACATATTCTTGTCAAAGCAGTTCCAATCTCTTTTGTAGCACCTTAATTACAAAAAAAAAAAAAAAAAAAAAGAAAAAAAAAAGAAAGAAAGAAGAAATAACAAGAAAAAAAATTACATGCTTCTATACTCATCCAATATTTACAATAATAAATGATTCTACAAACTCTTACCTCTAGCATTGGTTGCTACATCTGCAATTTTTTGAAAAGCTTCTAGATATGCTGATAATGCCAAAATGGCAGCTCTAGAAAGTAAAAAAAAAAAACTTGTTCTAAATTTATATCCTCTTAAAAACTGACTAATCTTATTACTTAATTTGGAAAAAAGTATTTGGATTTAGTGTCAATATATCATTACCTTAGGGATGAATGTAGTTTTGTAGCTTTTGAGATCAAATCTTCCCAAAGAGGGGTTCCATTCTGCAACAAGTTATTTTTAAAGGATGAATTTAAAATTCACCAATGAAATATTTAAACATTTTTTTTTTTTTTTTTTTTTTTTTTAACGAACGATTTAAAAGAAAAACATAAGATGTGAAAGGAATGTTTACTTATTCTATTATAAATACAATTCCTTCTATCTCTAAAGAAAAATAGAGAAAAAAAAACAAACATTCCGAATAAGTTATTAGAAATGATATTAATATGTATATTAAGAAACGTACGTTTTGAAACGTCTCTAATTTATAAAAAGAGTATATATAAACGATACATAATAGCTACGTGACATGCACAGGCGAAAACAAGGCGGGAAAGAAAAAAAAAAGAAAAAAAAAAAGAAGAATAAAGTATCTTCGAAAGAAGTTCTATCCATTGACATAAATAAACAATTCTTACCTTCATATCAGTAATTATCTGCTGAAAGAGACCGCCTAATGCGCTGCACTCTCTCTCGATCGTCGCATCCATCTTTTAAAAGAGAACTTCAAATACTACCGTCTGCAGTACGCGATGTATCCGTTTTCTTACGATTCTTCACAAATTTATTTTTTATCATCCACATAAGTATCCAATAAATGTTTACCTTTCAATTTCATTTCTACGATATCGTTCATTCTTACGATCGGCCAGGAGAGAAAAGATTTTTTTTTTTTTCGGAAACGAGAGTGCAAGGGATACCCTTTCCTTATTCTCACTTGTACCTTATTCGGCCGTCTCGAACGTGCCACGAACGCTTTGACATCAATCCTTCCACAATAGAAATGAACCACCTTCCACTTCTAAATCATTCATCTTCCCTCTCCTCTTTTCTTTTTTTCTCTTCAATTTCGTTAAAGTTATTATTATACACAGAAATCCTTCTAATCTTTTTCCCCCAATTATTCGCTATAAACACAACGAAAGAGTTCGAGTCAAACGCGACAGAAGTATGTCGATTCAATGGATCAAGTATGGCTCACGTCTGCGTACGATACTGTTTTCATTCTGATTTGTGCGCTCATGGCCGTCGATATAACAGTATGATGATATGCAGGATATTTATTAGCAAACCAATCAAGCGTCAGCATTGAAATTATTTCAAAATTACCGCCAAATTCAAATCGTGTTTATATATAATGTTGTTAAATACAAAATAATATTTATTTTCTTTTTTTTTTTTTTTTTCTTTTTGTTTTTTTTTTTTACTTTCGTGTTTTTTTAATTTTGTATAATATATGATCTACTTCTTATGTAATCCTCATTTAATTTGATATAATTAATGACATTAGTCAAATATGTATATATGTATATATAATATAATATAATATAATATAATATAAATGAACACAAACTCTCTCTCTCTCTCTCTCTCTCTCTCTCTCTCTCTCTCTCTCTCTCTCTCTCTCTCTCTCTCTCTCTCTCTCTCTCTCTCTCTCTCTCTCTCTCTCTCTCTCTCTCTCTCTCTCTCTCTCTCTCTCTCTCTCTCTTTACCATATTTTGTGACGTCAATTTTAGGATGCGCTAACCTTATGAACGTATTCTGGTTTTGTGTCATGCTATAGTTTTTTTCTTCTTTTTTTCTTCTCTTACCCCACTCCCTTCTGAACTCATTCTCGAAGTCACGTACCGAACACATATATGTATATATATATACATATTATATATATACATCAGTTTAAATGTTTTTCAAGAAGGAATTTATATTTTATTATAGTTTGACTAAAAAAAAGTATATTTCAACACATGATTTATACAGATTTAAATATAATTATAGTAAATTCATCTTTTAATTATACCAAGTATAACAAATTTTTGTAATTACATTAAATAGAAAGCCGAAGCATTTGTTGAAAGCTGAACTAATAAATATGTTCAACCAAATATTAATCTAAGAATTATTTTTACAAAAGTACATAACTGTATATAAATGCCCATATATATACACATCTATATATATCTGAATAATTGGAATCTTGATTACTTTCTTTATGTTTATCCTTTAACATAGATCCAAAAATTGCAATTATCGCATATGTACAATAAAATGTAATCTGGAACATATCATAAAAATATGATACAATTGACACAAATATATGAATGGTAAAAAATACAAAAATGATCGTCATTACCATATTTTCCATTTCTATATACATATTGATACGCATAATACAGGGATGATTACAAATGACATTATATAAAGTACAAATAAAAAAATGACTAACGATACTGAGGACAATGTTGTTTTATTATCGATTTCGAAATATCTGCATGACCTATAATTAAAAGAAAGATATATTAGAATGAATTTATAAAAAATACAATTATTAGAATTATCAAATGTAATTCTTACCAAGTTGTAATTCTATATATAATGCTAACATTATTACATGTATAGGTACATCACAGTCTGCACCTTTTGACAACCATACCTATAATGATCAATATCAGTTCACCGATTAATATATAAGAATACATATATATAACAGATTTACCATAAGCTATATCACAAACTAGCTCAATATGGTATAAATTATTTTATTCACCTGTTTTAATGTTTCACCAGATTTATCAAGTTCACCACGTATAGCATAAGCAACTGCTAAGTTATAACGAAGAACCGCAACACCTGTAGGAACAGTTGTTGGATACCATGCTATAACATAGAAGCATAATTTACTGTGCAAAATATGATATAATAGTGCATTATTTTAGAATGCATAAACATATTTTACGAAGTGTAGACAAAGTGTAAATACATTTAGCAAATATTTTACCTTTCATAGGCTTCAAAACTACTTCTTCAATTTTTTCTTTATCCTTATCCTGAATTTCAGGAATAGAAACAAAAGTATTTAAATCTTGTATATTTTCTGGCTTCAAATACTCGATTGCTTCATTAATTTTATCCATGAAAATCAAACTTTCAGCAGCATACAAATTACCAAGCATTCTATATGCTCCAGGCACTTTATTGAGATTTAATAATGCTTTAGCATGTTCTAATGCAACAATATAATCTCCAAGACATAAAGATACATATGCACTTGCAGCCAAGACATTGATCTTTAAATTCAATGCCTCTATAGTCATTGCTTGAGATATCAAGGTGGAGTTCTGATTATCTATATATAGATAAATGATTTATATAATTTGATTATTGATATTAGAATATATAAATAAATACTAAATATCTTCATACTCAAATTATGTCCAGGTGTCAATGCTAATGAAACAGTTTGAGGATTTGTAATTGTTGTCATAGATAAATTTAATTCGCTATTATTAGGTAATAAAAATAAAGCATTCTTCAAACATAATAATGCAAATTCTAAAGTAGGCTGTGGTATGGCATAAGATAAACCTTCTGTATGATATTTTGTATCTTTTGAAAGTGATGATGTTAAGACTATCTTTCTATGCATTCCAGAACCTATTACTTTCTGAACTAAATCTTTACGCCGTTTAGGTATATTAAAATCAACCTCATTCGTCTGAAAAAAAAAGATAAGTTTTTACTTTGAATTTCATTCAGATGTATATGCTCATAAAAAATTACTTGCCGATTACACGTACTGGTTTATGACAATAAATACAACATTCAGCCATCCTTAACCAGAGTTTAGGACTATTATGTAATCTCTGTGCAGCCTCAGTAAAACAGTCAAAAGCTTTTGATGCTTGACCAGCATGTAAATATGATATACCCAGACTGTACATTAATTCATAATGTTTATTTCCACCAAGTGTATACAATGGTTGTGAAGATAAAGGATCTTAAACAGATACTTTATTATTTGTGTTTATCAGAAAAATATAATAAATGATATAAATTAGTATATTTACCAGTATCTTTTATTTGCACACTTTCTACAGCATTTTTATTTTCTTGTAAAGCCTTTTGTAAATAAAAACATGCTAAATTTGGTTTACCCATGGCAAGATGTATACATGCCATATTATTATAATATAAGACTGCAGAAAATTTTCCACAAGATCTAAAAGAGAAAATACAATATATAAATGCAATATATAAAAACTAAAATATGAAATAAATTGTAAAAATACTAACTTGAAATCTAAATTATCTGTTGTGAGTGAATTTAAAAGCTTAATAGCCTTTTTATAATTTCCTTTTAAGTATTCCAAATTTGCTTTCAAACATAATGTTGATATATTCTTGAAAAATATTAAATAAATATTTTACATATAATAAAATAAAAAAATATATATATTATTATTTTAATACATGTATAATCTTACTATTGGAGTTCCTAAAGAAACTAATGTCTTCCATTCTCGTTTACATAATTTTAATTGGTGTGTTAAAAGGTATATTCTAGCTTTGCATTTTAATAATTTCATTTTAAATAAATCTGTAACTGTATCATTATTATCTTTCTTCTGTTCTTTCTGTTCTTTTACAACTTTCATTACACCATCTTTATCTACTGATGCAATCTTAGAATTATCCATTGAAATGAATTGACTTTCTATATAATTTATTAGCGATAATGCTGCATCAGGTTGTTCAGTTATTATATGTAATTCAATTAAAAGTAAACAAACTTTATGTGCCAAATTTTCTTCTAAAACATTAAAAGAAATTTGAAATTTTTTCCATCCTCATAAATAAAATTAATATAATACTTAAGATAACTTTGTTATACGTACCCATTGGTTCAATATAAGCAAATAATCTATTCATTATTTGTAATGCTGCAGTATACTGTCCCGTATGATATAACAAAACTGCTTGATTATATCTCATTACACATTTTTCAACATCATCTATAGCATCACCCAAATCTGTCGTAGACATTTGTCCACATATTGCATTCAAACTTTTTCTCATCAATTCTGTCTTTTTCAAATCACTTTTATAATATTCTACTACAACTTTATTATGCATTACTTTAAGATCCTTTGGCCTGAGAGTTTCCAATTTATTCAAATAATTTAAGCAAGATGTATATGAACCTTTCTGAAATTCGAATAATGCATTTTGGGCTAATTCACGTTCTTGTTCTGTTATTACTGCTTGTCCAATATCTTTACTTTGCACCTCAGATATTTCAGCCATCGTAATATAATGAAAAGTACGAAAATTTTACTACAATATAAAAATGATTTAAAAAAACGTCAATTACAGTAAAATGAGTATTTTCTATAACACAATATACATTCTGCTACTAACATTTAATTTTGCTAAATAGGTTAACTGTGTCTGTATTCATTCCACTACGCAATAACTACCCTTTGTCATTGATACTACCAGGTGAGAACAGTGACGTATAACTTAGGTTACTTGAGGGGTCGAATATATCTATACAATTTATTATTTCTGTATTATTAATAATACAGTATAAATTATTTAATATTAGTAATTAAATATATAATAAATAATAATCATAAAAGTTGTTTTAAAAAGTTTGTATATAAATTATAATTTACTTTTAATATAATTTAATTTCAATAATATAATTTTTAATTTTAGATGTATCAATGTAGACTTAACAAAGATTATAAAAGTATATTTACACATGATCTATTAATATGTCGATAATAAATTTATTTAACATTATTATTGATTGTAGTAAATACATTACATGGTTTAAATGTAAGATGGAATAAATATAAAACTTATCAAGAGATCAAATATATTCAGGTAATATTAAAAGAATATATAAAAAATATTTGTGCATATAACATATAATTGTACATAAATACATACGCGTATACAAATATTTTCTCTTATCATATTTCAACAATATGCAGTATAGGAAGATGATTTCAATAAATGAAAGTATTATATAAATTAATAAATTTTGTATATTGAATCATTCTTTTATCTGTCTTTTATTTTTGCTTAAATTAATAGATCTTTTATAGATAATTAAATGGTGTATGCTTTATTGGTAATGCTATGAACAATCTTACAAGGAAGCACTAGTTTTTTAAGTTACTACCGTAAAGAAGTCATATGATATTTTCAAATAATCTGTCCATAAAGATATTTTTATATAACAAAATATCATATCTCGTATCATCATTATATTTCATTATTGGTTTAGACATTATTAAATGCGATTCTATTGAATACAATTTCCAATGCTTCCGTCATGATGTGAACCTATAAATCAGAACTCCTACAACAGTAACAGCAGCCCCACCAATTAAACTCCAAACAAGTTTATTTGAAGTGTCATTTTTATTATTATTTTTAGAGGTTGTATTATTCATTTTATGTGTTCCAAGCATTTTACGATAAAGATTTTTTTCATGTTGTGCATCCTTCACATTTTTTTCTTTTAATATTGCTAATTCCTGTTGGATAGCTTTTGAATCTGGTTGTAACTTTGCAGCCTGAAGTAAAGTAGCATAAGCTAAAGAATGTTCTCCTTTAAGGTGCAAAATTTTCCCTGTGAATATAAAATATATATTTGCTAATATATGAAATCATTTAATTTTTAATATCTAAACTTGAATTAAATCTAAATTGATACTATTTTTATAAAGTTGTAATTAATATTACCTTTTCTAAATAATGCTTTTATATTTAATGGTTGACATGTTAAAACATTCTCTACACTTTTTAATGCTGCATCATACGCTTGAGTTTTTATTTGTGCTGCAGTTAAGTTATTAAATACTTTCATACGATCCTCTAATAAAGCCTGCAATTCCGTATCAGTGGCAGATTCTTCAACTTCATCAAAAGGAGAATTTGAATAATTCTTTGAAGGAAACAAAAAATCTAGGGCTCTTCTGTAGCATTGAATTGCAATTGTTGGTTCATCTCGTGCGAACCACCAATTACCTCGTTCTCGTTTTTTATTTCTATATAGTAATAAAATTTATATGTTAAAACTTATTCCAACAAAGATTACAAATCAAACAAATCATAATAATAATAATAATAATAATAATAATAATAATAATTACCCAATTTCTTTTCTTTGATTGATGCTAAGATTTTCAATATCTGTTTCAAATTCAATTGATTTTAATTCAACAGTATACCAAATAGTAGCATTAGATGGAATATTAGGTTCTTTTCCTAAAGTACCATAAGCAAACCGTGAAGCAACTTCCACTTCTGCAATTTCACCTACGTTCATTAGCGCAACTGCTAAATCTAATCCCTACATATAAAAAAAAAAAAGGATATTTTTTATATTTATAATGAAAAATATTTAATGAAAAATTTAGGTAACTAATAAGAAAAGGACACATTACCTGAATAATTTCAACATCACCTGATTGTATAGTAATATTCTCATGTTCTTCTACTATCGTACCATCTTCGAGTTTGCCAATGATTTTCAATGTACAATAATCAGCTCTATTAGGTCGCATTCCATTCTGTCCTTCTTTTATAACTTTTTTTTTCAATTGTCCATTACCAAGAATATCAATCCAATCATCTACAGGGTGATCGGATAAAGCTGCTTTAGTTTGTGGATCTTTTGGATCAATATCAAAATTTAAATCTTCACGAATAAAATCAGCCTGGGTTTTTTCTGTTTGTAATTCTATGTTATCCATCTCTAAAAAGTAAAATTATAAAATTATATTTGCCATAGAATAACGAAACTTTAAACACATTCAATAATCAATCATTTCATATTCATGATCTGATAACATTAAATGAGTCATGAAAATTCGAAGGTTATAATAATAGTAATAATCATAATATAAAAAAAAAAAGAAAAAAAAGAAAAAAAATATTGATAAAAGAAAATAGAAATAAATAACTCGTATATCAATAAACTTGGAAAACAAAATTGATAAAGTTTATAAAAAAAAATACAAATTCATGTGATCAATAATAGAATATAAAAAGTATGATTAGTATATATTATAATTTTCCAAAATCAAAAAAATATAATATAATATAATAACTATTTATACCTTAATATTTTAAAAGATATGAACATTCATGAAAGTTTTCTAAAATATTTGTATATTTTTCACATTTGAACGTATAATAAGTGGACTACCGGCAGAAAGGGACTTATACCATGAAATTAGGCGTCACGTAGTGAAATCGATAATCGAATTTTCATCAAGAACTTTTCTTTCTTTCAATTATATAAGATCGCATAAGATAGAGATGATTGAAGAATGACAAACAGATTAAAAGTTTTTTGTACGATATGAAAAACAGAACTTTATTATGACTACAAAAATAAGTAAAAAAAAAAAAAATATATATAATAATAGTTGTTCTTTTTCTTTATAACTCGTGTATCCATTTATGCGTACATATATTTATAAACTTTTCTTTTACCTAATTTATTTAATTAATATTCCTTCCAAATAATATTTATTTTATACAATCATAATTAAAATGTATAAAATATTAAAATAATTTTAATTACAACGATAATATTTTAATCAGATGAATTCTATTAATAAACCTGGGGTGCCTGTTTTCTAGCATACGGCATTGTATTACTAAATAGGAAGACCAATGAAATGTACCCACATTACTTGCACCTGCGCGTGCGCAGTGGTGCGCATTTCAAGTCTTGATGGTTCATTCAACTTCACCGTTGACTACATATAATTTAGTCATCGATGAACGACAGTTGTTCGTCGAACGTCTTTGTTCAATAAGTCGAAATTCTCGACGACATATCGCACAAATTGCAATGAGGATAATTCTAGTTCTTAGCCTTGTGGCTATAATTTTCGGGTTGGCCGTTCATGCAGATGATAAGGCAGCAAAGGGACCAAAAGTAACAGATAAGGTAAGTGAATTCATGATAAAATAATGATAATTTCAATGATAGTAATATGAGCAGAATTTTTTATTCATTCGATTTTCTAACATATTTAGGTATGGTTTGACATCCAAATTGGCGGTAAAGACGTCGGAAGAATTGAAATTGGTCTCTTTGGAAATACAGTTCCAAAAACAGTACAGAATTTTGTTGAACTTTCTAAGAAACCTGTTGGAGAAGGATACAAAGGAAGTAAATTTCATAGAGTTATAAAAGAATTTATGATTCAAGGAGGCGATTTTACAAAAGGAGATGGAACTGGAGGTTAAATTTTCTTTTACCATTTCAAAAAATATATACATAAATTACATTTTTAAAATCATTTAATAATATTTTAATATATTATTTAATTATCTCATTAGGACATAGTATTTATGGTGCCAGATTTGCTGATGAAAATTTCAAGTTAAAGCATTATGGTGCTGGATGGTTATCAATGGCAAATGCTGGAAAAGATACTAATGGTTCTCAATTTTTCATTACTACTGTACAAACTCCATGGTTAGATGGCAGACACGTTGTTTTTGGGAAAATAATTAAAGGAATGGTACGTGATGATCCAAAAAACTAATATTGAATGTATAAAATGTACCAATTTTAATATATTTCTAATATCTTTATATAGGATGTAGTGAAAAAGATAGAAGGTGTATCTACCGATAGTCGAGATAAACCAACAGAGGATGTTGTTATTAGTAACAGTGGATCAGAGACAGTAACAGAACCATTTGGAGTTTCTAGAGATGATGCAACTGAATAAATATCAATTAATGTACAAAATATGCAAGGGTCTATGCTACTAACAATGCAATTTTGATCACTGTATTATATTCCAATTATATATGATTTTAAACAAATATTATTTCCCATTATAAAACAATTTTATAAATATTATGTGTATATCTTTACACAAATACTCCATTTGTATGACTAATAAATGAATGTAATTTGTTTAAATGATTATTTTATATTTTTCCACTAACAAATGATGTATATATATTGTGTATATATATATATATATATATATATATATATATATATATATATACACATGCCTCATAATTTAATTTTAATCAATTAGTACTATTAAATCATTAAATTATTAGAGATTTATATTGGATATGACATTTTCTAATAACCGGTCTTTTGTATTCTAACTCTGAAGAATGATGATATTAAAGCCATGAAAGCACTTTGCTATACTATAAGAAAGTTCATGACATTCTCACGTTTATTTCACATCGCATACGTTCGAATCGAAAAATACGTGACTCGCAGTTGAGTTATGCAATATAAAACATATAAAACATATAAAACATACACAAGTGTTCAAACAAATTAATTGATTAATACTGACACTTCAATTTTAAGTAAATTAAAATGAATTTTAAAAATTATCATGATCGGTTCATTTTATTTACTATCGTTTGGATTGATCTGCACCAATCTTCATACAAATAACTATCGTACCAATCATCTTAAAATTTGATTTAAAACTAGTATTTTTTAATCCGACTTTGAAGAATAGTGATATTGAAAGCGTGAAAGTACTATAATATAAGAAAGTTCACGATATTCTCACGTTTATTTTATATTGCATACGTTCGAATTAGAAGATGCGTGAGATGCAATACAAAATTTATAAAAAATATATTTAAACAAATTAATTAATTCATGTTGAAATTTGAATTTCAAATAAATTTAAAATGAATTTTAGGAATTGTTATGATCAGTTCGTTCTATGATCGTCTTCATTGGTCTGTACCAATTTTCATATAAATAACTAATACTCTCAAAAAAACTGTAATACTCTTAAAATATAGTTAAGAATATGTTCTTGATACTTTCAAATATATCGTTGTTAGATTATTTAAATCTTGTGAAAAATATTGAAAAAGTCCAAAGTGATAATTAATAAATGTCAAAATTTTTGATATGTGTTAGAAAATATGAAAAGGTTAATGTAAATGTTGAAACTATTTTAAAATTGGAGTAAGATTTATTTAAAAAAAAAAAATATATATATATATAGACACATATATACATACATATATATTTATATATATATATATATAAAATAATAATAAAAAATGATTTTTCTAAAGTCTGTTTTATTCTACTGTTCAGTTGTTATATTATTCTTATTTTTATTATTATTGTACATCCTTGGAGGTGTGCGATACATTACTGATTTTGAGGAAAATACTTGTGAAATGACTTATATGTTCGAATATCCGCAATATGTGGTATGTATAATTCAATTAGAATACATTATTTTATAAAGAATTAATTTATCATTCTTTGTTTATTTATTCTAATACAGAGAATTGCTTTGGACGATAATATAGAGAACAAATATCCACGATTTGGATTGTATGCATATGGAGAAGGTTTTGTTACAGAAAAACTTAGAAGAATGTATTTTACAGGAATACCTGTTCTTTTTATTCCTGGAAATGTAGGATCTCATGAACAAGGTAATTTATAATTTTTTTTAAAATTATTATTAACATTTATTATACTCCTGTTTATATATATATTTTTGTTTGCATACATAGTAAGATCTATTGCTTCTGTCAGTTTGAGAAAAAGTCAAAAAGATCGAACACCCTTTCACTTTGACTTTTTCACCGTTTCATTGGGTAGAGATTATTCTGCTTTATATGGAGGTATGTATAATGTGTTATATCAAAGAGTTATAGTCAATATGTTATTTGTTTTGTAAAATATTTAGTATAAAAAAATGCATGTATCTACAATATAAATAGTAATGATGTATATTTTATTTTTTAAATAAAAGGTGTATTGATGGAAGAAACTATGTATGTTTTCCATTGCATAAACAAAATTTTAAGTCTGTATAAAGGAAATATGGATAATGTTATACTTATTGGTCATTCTATGGTAATTATAAATACATATTTTCAACATAAGAAATAGAAATTAAAAGAATAATTATATAAAGAGTAATTATCCTTATATTTTTAGGGAGGAATCATAGCCAAAGGAGCTATTTTATTAGTTCCAAATGCAAAACCGAGTACTGTCAGTATTATTATCAACTTAGCAACCCCTTCTGTGCCGTCGCTAGTATTTGATAATACTTTTGCCACTTATTATTATAATTTAGAAAAAAAAGCAAATCAAATTAAAGAAGCCGGGATAACAGTCGTATCAATTACTGGAGGACCAAGAGACATTGTGGTACCATCAAATCAAGCCATAGATCCTACAGCAGATATAAATATTCTTACTACAAATATACCAGATGTTTGGAAATCTACCGATCATCTTTGTATTCTATGGTGCAAACAATTGGTGCTCTCTATTGTTAGATTTTTATTTGATAGTGTTGATTATACAAAAAAACCAGCTCAAATTTATAATGAGCCTGCTCGTAAATTGGAAGCCTTATCTTATCATTTTTTACATGTAAGGAAAATTTTTATTGATATTAATAATATTTACGAAAGGAAAATGTATATTTATTATAAATTATTATATTTATAGAGAAGTTCAGGAAAAAAATTATATCATTATAAAGAAAAATTTAATTTTGATAAAAATGGTGAATGGATAGAAAATATACAAAGGCAATACACATGGGAGAGTAAAGTTAACAGTTCTAGAAAAGGTTCTACATATTTAATGATTAGACTTACAGATCCACGTGATCATTTGACAATTGAGACAATAAACTTAGAAACAAAAGATTGGCTCTTTGTTTGTTTTGCATCAAATTTGCAAGACCATTCTAGAGTGTGGTTAGTATGATGATAATTGATATAATTATATCTTAACATTAAAGCTATATTCATTCACTTATTTTTTAAATATTTATTTGCTTACAGTGATTGGGGCTGGAATCTTACAAATAGGACCAGAATGGCTCCAGATTATTTACACAAACTCAGGCGTGTTGTTGATTTAGATACACAAGAAATTAAATATCCACATATGACACATATTATTATTAGAATGACCTCGGAAGACTTAGAAAACAATGTTATAGTTACCATTGATGCATACTCTCGTGAAAAAAGAATTTTGCCTATTAAAAGCAGGACTTGGTCTATTACAAATCTTTTTAATTCTGATTTATCTGGTTTGATGAACTTTGGACCTGGTCAAACAAGATATTATGTAACTCTAGATAAAATAAATGCAATTAATGTAGAGCTTAAAAATATTGAATGCAAGAATATTAAAGGACCAGTTCACACTAGTATTGAATTATTAGAACCATGGAATTCTGGCGCTAGTCAAACTATATTTTTAACTGAAATGTAAATATATTCTCTTTCTAGAAGTTTTAATCGAATCATCTGCACATTATTTATTTATTTTACAGAGATAACGGACCCAAAACTATGAAAGTGCAGACACATTACAACTACGACACCAATGTTTCTGCAATATTAAGGTTGACTTTAGAACAGAAATGCGCATATAAATTTAACATTAAAGAAGGTGGCATAATAGATCAAATTTCTTGTTTAGTGAGAGATCGCTGGTCCATTCTTCATATAATTATTATAAGTTTACTTTTAATAATAATATCGTTGCGTATAGATAGCGATAAAAATGTGATTCCACCATTGATTGTTACAATGGCTTTATGTATTTACTTTGGTCTTGTTTTCGAAAGTTGTGTGGCTTTGACCATCATTTGTCTATTTGCTATAGGTACATGCTGTTCTGTTATTTTCCTTGGTTCATTAGCACATGGTATAGCTGTAAGGTAAGATTATATTTATTTATTTATTTATTTGTAATAAAATTATTATTTTTTAATAATTTTTTTAATACATTCTTACGTTCCTTTATAGATTTTTAGCACGTGCAATAGCATTTTCAGTAACATGGGCTGACTGGTTACTTGGTGGATTGAATCAATTGCCATTCTTCACAACAATTCTTGTCATATCTTTAGTTCCAGCAACATGTGGAGCATTATCTATGATTATCTCAGTATTTTTGCACTTTTTAAAATTAACGAGAATGTATGAGGATTATTTAGAAGAATTATTAATGTCCTGCTTACAACATTTTACCATTGGTAGAGTTTTTAGGAGTAGAACAAAAACCGAAGTTACAAGAACAAATGAAAATAGTCAACAAAAAATAATAGATTACATGATTCTTTTTATTTTATTGAATTTCACTGCTATCTCTGCTATACCATCTGTTCTTGTGTGGGCAAAAAATTTCAGGTCAGTTAACTTACTATTAATATTTCAATCATTTGATTGTTACAATATTAAAATTAAAAATTAAACATTTTTACAGTTATAGTACACGATTATTAACAGAAGATTCTATACTTCTTGTTAGTTGGGAAGTTCTAGCTGTATGCAGCACTCTTGAACTTGTACAAATATCTTCCAAATCTTCAGAATCATGGATATTAAGCAATATGTTACGATTTTTAAGTTGGATTTTGCTTTCTACAGCAGCAACTGTTCGCCCATCCTTTTATCAATGGTTTATTCCACCTTCTGTGGCAATAGTTATAGCTATTCTTTCTCTTTATTGTATTATTAATAACAGATTAAACTCATAATATATGAAATAAGTAGATAAATTATTTATGAAAATATTAACAGAGGAAATAAAAAAATCTGAACTGTATCATAAAATAAATGATTTTACTTATTATTCGTGAAAAAAAATTAGATATACATATTCAATAGTCAAACTTATAACCTTATGAGTGCATAAAAGTAGTAGCATGTTGATTCTAATATACAGATATTTTTAAACTAAATTGAGTATACCTATACACAATAAATAATTCTATTTATATATAAATTGTCAAAGAAGTTTTATAAGTATTTATCATTGACTTTCCATCAAAGTATATGTATACAATTTACAAATAATGTAGTAAAAAGATAGTTTAACTTAAAATCAAATTATTTTAAAGTATTGGATGTCTATTTTTTCATTTGATAAAAATGACGCAATATGTATGTATACAAAGAATAATGCTTATCCTCAAAAGTAATAATAAATCATATACTGACAATATATTTTAGTGTTTTATACGAATCAAATGTAAGAAGTATAGAAGTATATCGTATTAACATATTAATAATACAATGCCCATTCATTTTCTTGAAGAAAAGTATCCACCACTTCTTTCATAGCTAAATTTGGAATCAATTGGTCTTGTGTTAACCGAACACGTGTAACTGGATCAAAATGTCCTACCCTTTGTAAATGTTCTTCAATATCTTTTCGTTCATAAGTTATTCCACTAGGTGTTATTACAGGTTCTTGAAGTATCTCAAAACTAATTTTCCCACATAAGTAATCTGGTACTTCTCTTTTCTATTAAAATTAATATTTGCATTAACGAGACTGGACCAATATAAAAAAAAATGCATATGAATTAAAATAATTCGCAATAATATAAACTGACCCTTCTTCTGTCATCTACTTTAGCAAATAAATCATTAAGATGAGCTGTACAAATATCTCGTTTTTCTTCTATTTCTTCTTTTCTCCTAGCTAAATCACTACTTGATGCATCTGTTCCAGATTTATTGTCTCCATCTTTTATGACCTCTTGTTCATTTAAAGCAGTTAATTTTCTTTCTGCATCCTCAGCTAATAATTGATTTAAATATGTCTGAAGTTCAATGTCTTGTGCAATCCTCTGTTCTTCCCTCAACTGAAAACGGCGTTTGCGTGCTTGCCTCAAGACACTGGTAATGTCGTCGCCATAATTTAATTTCTGTTCCTTGGCCAAGTCCACCGCTATGCCATTGTCATTTAGCATAGTTAATCATTTTCAAAATAATATTAGTATCATTCTAATAATAATTAATTTGATGACAGTAGCATCTAATTTCTAGAAGAGTTGTGCAAAGTAGCCAAATGATAAGAACCAAGCAACAATGCAACTTATCGTATTTTACCTCAAAATTTAATGGACATATTCCTACCATTTATAGATGAATTATGCGCAGTCACAATGCTCCATGCAACCGTGTCAGATCCGGAATAATATTAATTATAATAATATAAGAAAATATAATAAGATTTTGAAGATGCTATCGTTCGATGGAGATTTTTAATTAAATATTTAAATACCATTAAAAACTAAGATATCATAAATTTTTCACTATATTTTAAAAATAGTATAATAACTGTCACCATATTATATTCCATTAAAATAATTATTATTCTAGCATATCGAATAAATTGAAACAAGCAAATATTTAAGCACAAAATATATTAACCTTTCCCAAGAAGCTTTATTATATTTTGTAAATTTAATAAATACTGGCTTTACTATTATTAGATAAACACATACCTCTTTGTAAATGTTTGACAGCTTCGTCATAAAGTTCTAATTCAAGTAGAGCTAAACCCAAGAAAAAATGTCCTTTCACAGAACAAGGATCTATATCCAAAGCTCTCCTACAATCCTGACATGACGATTCCCAACGCTTCAATTTTAAGTGGCATAATGCTCGATTTGTGAAGTATGATGCTTGAGTTGGATTCTTTATCTGAAGGAATAAAATGCAGTCGTAACTGATCTGCACATATTTGAGATATCACTCACAATTGCTTTTGTATAACAGTTTGCAGCATCTTCATATTTATGAAGATTGAAAAGACGATTGCCTTGCTCCTTTAATTCCTTGTCTGATAAATTTGCAGTGGAATACATCTTGCTCATGGTGATGATTTATTACGTGTCACAATGGACACAACGCCGAAAACGTATTAAAATTCTATAAATGTATACGCAAAAATACAAATAAATATTATAAAAGAAAAAGAAGTGCCACAATATCTTAACCTCAAAATCTACATACGTTTCTTCACTTTCCGCTTTTATTTGTATTTAATTTGTAAAAAAAGTATCATTTCTCGTTTATCTCACTCTATGTATATGATTTTTTCAAACAATCTTATAAATATCAGTAATAGATAATAAACTATTTTTTAAATACGTATATACGTTTGCTCCAAGGGTCTCTTAGCTGTAATATAAAAAGTGTTACAAATTTTAATTCGGTAGACAAACGTCTAGATGGCGCAACTACACAGTCGGTACAATATATATTTATACGATGTGATAAATAAGTTTATTACACCTCAAGGCTTATATATATGTTTGTAGATTAAAATAATTAATTATTTAAATGAATAAGTTCAAAGTTATAACATTAACTTTTTGGTATCCAACGGTAAGCTGACTGACTTATCATCTATCGAAGTTTCACGAATAATCACGTCTTTGTTGTTGTTTACATCACTGAACAGATTTCGATTATTAAATTATTCTTATGAAATTACTATTTACTAGCAAACTAGTTGGAAGTATATACTATACATTGCTTAAATAAATGATCGAAGGGATTAATTAAATAAATTAATTATAGTACAGACTAAGAAAACAATGATGTTATCTCGTCGACATCCAGCGATGAAGTATTATCGAGGTTGTATAAATTCACTAGCTCTATTGTTATTTATTTTACTAATTAACAATAATTCTTTCTAAATTTGAAATTTTCTCTTATCAAAAGTTAAAATTATTTTATATTGAATATGTCTTAATAATATGTAACGTTTAAACAAATACATTTTGTTTATCTATTAGTAAATTATGCTATAATAATGAACATTGCTTCATATTGTTTAAATAAATGTAAAATAATCTAAATTAATTATTTAAATGTATCTGTATAGAAAAAGATAACTAGAATGTTTATTCATCCATATCTGAAAGAAGACTGACATGTTAATAGTTAAAAATTTTTTACCTACTCGTAATTCTTTATATTATTAATTAGAAACAATCCCGAGTTTATATTTAATATTAAAAGAAATTTCAGACATTTATATTATATTTAATGTGCTTTAATAGCTTTGTAATATTTAAACAAATGCACATGATTATTTATTTATTAAAAAATTATAAATAAAACATTGTGAACGTTATCTTAGATATAAAATAATTCTAATCGTATTTCTTAGATACTTTGCGTATATTAACATTAATACAGAGAACTTTGTTAAAGTTATGCTATAAATGTTAATAATAATTTGAGATGAAAAAGTACGACGAGCCAACAGGAAAAATATTGTACATATTTTATATCTCAACGCGGTTTTATTTCTTTTCGGAAATAAGAAAATACATAACCTACGAAGCTTGGACTTTTCCAAGAAAATTTATATATGCATGTATAGATGATATATATGTGAGAAAATCATACGTCGTGAGAAAGATACATATAAAGTTTTTATGAACGCTTGATGAATGTCGCTTAGTTTGATTCTTGATATTTATATACTTGTGTATAATGTGTATAATTATGTATACAGTTTGATATTTATATACTTGTGAAAATAATAATTAGTGAATGTATACTTACATATTATATATAATTTTTATAAAAATTGAAACATTAATTCATTTCCATACTATATTTGTGAAGTATAATCTACACAAGCTTATAGACCCGTTCCCATCTCTCGTGTCGTTGTATAAGCTTGTTTGGTATATCCCTCTCATATGTAAATAATACGTAAATAATCGGTTTCGTGTAGATTAAAGTAAGTGTGTTAGTAGACTGTAAACTTATCATTTTAATCTTTCATATGTATATCTTTTTTCATAGTAGTATCCGTCTTGCAGTGATCCGTGTTAGATACGATATCGGTATATATCTTATCTATTTGTCTATAGACGTATTATTGGCAATGTAAAGTGTTTAAATACTTTAGTGTTTAATCAGAATTAGATCGAAGAAATTTTAAAAATACATTGAAATGTATTTTTCCATTTCAGCCATTCGCCCGGTAATACTTATGTAGGGTGATTTACAGAATTAGATTTAAATATATCGCAAGTATTATCGATCCAAGTTTCTCACCACGTGGAGGTTGCTGCATCTGGAAACCCACGATAGACTAACGATGACTCTATTCTAAAATCTGCGTTCGCGAGGTAATCTAATCGAATTTTCGAGCAAATAAAACGAACTTTTCGATAGGAGTTTTAATCGTGTCCGTTAACACACACTTATATGAGTGTTAGAATAATGATGACTCTACATTGAAATGCAAGGTGATATGAGTCAATTGTGAATTCTGGTTACCAATACTATCTGGAGGAGGGTTAGTCTCCACTTACGGTCAAATTAAAATATGACTAACAGCCATTCTCGAAAGATTCCAAAGAATCTTCGAAAATAACTCAATAGGCTAATAATCGCCCTCTTCAGCCACAGTTTGTGCGGGCCTTTTAGGCATATAGCTTTCTCTTTGCTTCATATCCTAACCATTATTATAGAGCAATTGATAATTATTATTAATGCCAAAGAACTAAAATCGTTTTTTATTTTAAAACATGGAAGAAAACTGATAAATCTAACGCAACTCTAACGAAATCCTAAAAAGAAAAATCAAGAAAGCATAGGGAGAGAAACGAGAATTGGTATATTAATTGCTGAAAATTCTATGCTAAAAATTGATTAATTTATTCTACGAATTGTACTGATTCTACAAGTCTCTTTGTTTTCTATCAATGACTCTATTCGACTTTCCTCTTTCAAAAGCAATATGTATAATTATTAGAAAATAAATCATATAATTTCGCTTGTAATACAGAGACTATCTATCGCGAATGTTTTGTTCATTTCTTATTAGAATACCTGAAGAACAATTCTTTACTATTGTCGCGAAAGAAAAATATTTAATAATATATTAAAATATTTAAAATTTCCAATAATTATAACTAACGCGTTTGAAAAGACTTTATCTTGATCTAATAAATAAATCAAAAAATAAGGAACTATTCACGAGTAAATATCCTAAGAAATTTATTCATGGTCACTCAATGTTCTTCTACTAATTAATTACAACCAATCACTCGTATCGATTCGGACCTTTTGTCCTCGACATGATTAAGTGATCGGAGGAACTTAAAAATTCACTTACTACTTAAAAAGTTCTGTGATAGCTCCAAAACACTCGTCCGTGATTTAGGTCGAAATTGAGGGTGGATGATTCGTAGGTGGTTGAAAATGAGGTAGGTCGACATCGAAGTTGGATGAGATCATCTTCAGTGATGCATTGAATCTAATTCGCGGTAGTTATTTATTAACGGACGGTCACTGAATTTACTTCGCGAAACTTTATTGACTTTTATAAATACAACCTGTGCAATTATTAAAAAAGCAAAATACTTTGCGAACAAACACTGACTCTAAGCACTGCATTGCATGCAATCGATGCAAAAACACTTGTTGTTTAAATCGCGAAACGCGGACGAACAAATACTGCTTCTATTTCGCGATATTTTAAATTTAGCGTCATAAACACTCGATTACATCATTGTTTCACGCGCGATTACAATGATTTTCTGGAACAGAAAAATAAAAAAAAAATTATTAGTATCATTATTATAATAAGAAACTGGATAAATTATTGAAGAAACGTGTGATATAAAAATATATTTATTTGTAAGAGAGATCTTCGATGTTTATTCGTAGGAGAACAAAAAAGAACTAATCCGGTAATCGTTAAAATTAATAAAAAGTCCGTATGCGCTTATATTACACAAGGCTTATATTAAACAACCACGAGACAAAAATTTTAAAGTATTGAAATTTTTAATTAATGAAAAACCAGTATCGATTATACCAAATTTATAAAATTTTTTTTAACATCGTAACGCCAAAATTTTTATTTTTTAAATAAGAAATAAAGAATTTTTATATATTAATAAAAATTATTTTATATATTAATAAGGATGTACTTTGAAAGTAATATTATATAATTTTATTCGATAGCAAAGTTATTAATTCGATGCGATACCCAATCAATTAAGCATTTTCGATAGGGCTTGTGATGGATCATGTGATAAGGATAACGTAGCAAGTATTATCGATTGCCAGAGTATAATAATATGGTGGTTGCTGCACATAGAAACTCAATTTATTAAATACTATTAAGTACATGCAATTTTTCATTTGAAAAAATGCATACACTTTCACGTAAAAATAAAGATTACGTAAAGTAAATGAAAGAGATTTAATACGTAGCTTAATTGTATGTGTAAATGACATAAAATGTAATTATAAGAGCTTATCATATTTATCGACTCGAAGATGTTGACGCTATGACAATTACATTTCAATTCAAATAATTGTTTTGTAAAGTCATAATATTTAAGTAATATTGAAAAGTTCAAGATGTTACTTAAACAAATTGTTTATTGTTCGATGTTGAACATTCAATGTGATTACATACTTTTAGATAAAATATTTTATATATTCTCATGAAGCTTATCGCTCCATTACTACCTATTATACCTGATTCACGACTGAATGAATAACTATTCGTGCGAAAATAACAGAGCTGATTTTCCCGATCATTTTGTGTGGCTCATTAGACATCATTCTAATTTCAATATGTTTCACAATATTTCCATTTTTATATTGTAACAATTCAATATAACTTATAGATAAAAAAAAAAAACAAAAAGAAATGATCTCAAAAAAAGGAAAATAATTTCAATATATCTATTACATTTGTCTGTTAAATTCAACATTTGTTTCTTTCTAACATAACAAATGATCAGTGCAATATTTTTTAATAATTTGACGATAGCGTTACACCTACATCAATCCATTTATTTTAGCAATCTACCGTAAGCGAATGATTAGCTTTAATTTTCTGTCGACAGGAAATCAAGTCTGGATGATAATACATACTCCCTTTCTTCGAGCCACACCTAAACAGTTTGTAGAACGATATAAAGATAGCCGGTAGGTACTTGTTTGATCCTCTTTACTCGTAATCGTCCTAATGAAGAAAAATGTGCGTGATTTCGTTAGAGGATATCAAGTTCTGTTCTGTTAATGGTGAAGAATCAAAGAGAAATATGGAGGAATACAAAGTTGAAGTCCTCTAATCTTATCTCTTTTTCTCTTTTATTAGGGAATGGCGATCAATACGTTTTACGAATTTGGTCGAATGAAAAGAAAGCAAAAAAAAAAAAGAGAAAGAAGGAACAATGTCGAGTTAACTTTATCATTTTTTTTTATTAACGTCAAGATCAGTCAGTTCGGTCAGAAAAAATAATTCGTGCGAAGATAACGCAGATTGATTTCTTTTGCGTGATACATTAACAGGATTTTCCGATTAAACTGAATCATAAAGGGATCTAACGAAGATCGACTTTTCTATAATAGATAAAATAAGGAAATGGAAAGGGTGGGTATAAGAATCGAGGAGGGATGGCAAATCAATTCTTGAATTTGAAGATGTTTTCAAGGACCATTTTGTGGTGGACAAGGGTCGTCTCGATATAAATGAGTTTTCGCTAGATACGAAAGAAGAGACTCGGTAAGATGAGTTCCAAAGACAAATGAGCTCTTAAAGGACTTTAAGACCTTCTCAACGCGATAACACTTGCCTTGAGACATTACGATAATAACGATTTTAACAGGGTACTTCGAAAAATGATGTGGCAAGTCCACTTTCGAAGGGTCAGCCAAATGAAAAATTTTAGGGTCGAATGCACACATTTTGAAGAAAAATCGATTCTATTTAACGATTATCATCTCGAAAGTGGATACGATAAACTCGATCGCAACTTTAAAGTAACGAGAAAGAATAAAATGACACGTGAATATACAGTTTTTGTTTTTTAAACTTTCCTTTTTCAAATAATACATTGTTTCCCAGATATTTAAGTGTTTCCAATTAAAAAATTCATCCTGCATATATCTTGTTAAGGTAATAAAATATAAAAAATAATATACTCCTGAAAATGAATACGAACTACCTACTACTAAATTTTCTACTCGATTTCATTTAATCTTGAATATGCACGGGGAAGTGGTTTTACGAGTTTAAGCTTATTGGGGTCGATTAGTTTAATCGATGTTTGGTTCTACGTCCACAATCGAATTAAACTACGCGAAAACTCGTTTTGGGAAAATTAGACCCTGGTAGTAAACGTAAACGAACGATGAATAGGCCCCCGTTATAATTGAATTAGCTCTCATCTTTACACTAACACGAGACAAATAAATGTAACCCCTTTTTTACGTGGTCACGTTCAATCGCAATATCGGTCAGCTCACATATTGAAACATAATACACCAATTGTATTCACTGTATGAATTATCATCCCACCTATATACCTGCAAATATTAACGAACGTGCTTCCACAGTTACCATTGTACTCGAGAATTACATTTCGTCGTTCATTCTACAGGCGATATACGATACTAACCGTTAGAAGCATTTCTGCGAAAGCTATTTTTTCTTTCTTTTTTCTCTCTCCCTCTCTTTCCTCCTCCTCTCTCTCTCTCTCTCTCTTTCTCCCTTCCTCTCTCTTTCCATACATTAACAAAAATTTCTCGAGAAATAATCTATTCAATGTAATTTACTCGAATGTTCCAAACGTTCATTTACACGTAAAAGAATATTCCATTATCTATCATTTCGTGATAGCGTTCGCAGTGGTAATTTACAACGTACAGAACTATTCGATTCCGATTAAGGACTTGATCCATTAATAAGCTCCAACCTTTCCTAATAGTAACCACTTCCGTACGCCCTATTTAATCTCGTTATCGTTAACATTTCATTTTTGAAATGCATCTTTATTCCTAGATCAAAATTTTCTTTTTTTCAAATTAAACTTTTCGCTAAACGCTAAACGTAAAAATTTTATAAACAATTTTATAAATAATTTAAAGGAATAAATCGTTAAACTTTTGATTACATTTTCTACATCCATTTCTAACCCCTCGATATAGAGAGAAACATGATATTTTTTTTCCTATACTATTTTTTAAAAAGATTCAATCAAAACAAAGAGAGATATCGTAAACAAAATAAAAAGATCAATTTCTCTGTATGTAAACGAAAAGATTCAAATGAAAAAAAATGTTTGAATCGAAGAGAGAGAAAGAGAAAGAAAGAGAGAGAGAGAGAGAGAGAGAGAGAGAGAGAGAGAGAGAAAGAGAAAAAATGAGTATAAGTTCACGAGTATGAGATGAGTATTCAATGAATATGAGAGGGAATCCTACGAAAAGTCGCTAGTCATAGAGTGACGATACGGTTTATTAAGCCGAATTAATTGATTTATGGATCATCTCAACCCTCGGTCACATTACGTCCACGTGCAGTTCTCTGCACGAATGCTGATGGTGGGGACAATATCGAAACGAATAGAAGCGAACGAAAAGAAAACAGATCGAGAGATGTGAGCTGTGTAGAACGGAGCGAGAGCGAAAGTACTCTTCGTGAGGATCACAGGAAAAGAGAGAGGGGAATAAAAGGGGAAAGAGAGCGGGGGGGAGGGAGAGAGAAAGCAAGAGGTTGGTGGTGGACGATGATCCAAAGAATGGAAGAGCATGCGCGCGTGGGAGTAGTACCTTATTCGTCGTAGAGCTCCCGCCAAGGCTTTCTGTTAACTACGAACTGCCGATGGAAAAGGTTCCTTGCTATGTGTCAAAATTTTTCACGTGAACCGATGATTCCACCATATTCTTACGGAAGTTAATTAAGTACGTGAAGATTTCTTCGAATTTTCAATAATCTCTATCGATCTTCTATCAATAATCTCTGATATTTCCACTTTATCTCTTTACGAAACGAATATTATAATAATTCATATTATATAAAGATAATTTCTTTGAAGACTCGTTATGATATAATGTGTTATTTGTGATGTGAAAGAAGATTCGAAAAATGGATCGCGTGGTTCTTGATTCTTAAAAGTGAGAGGGATCAAAGAGGATATGACGAAGACGTGATAAATGAAAAAAATCAAAGAAGAAAAATAAATGGTGGAGGGGTTCAGATCGATATAATCATCATTGGAAGTGACTAAGATCGTGAATGAATATCGTAACCACGTGGTTAAGTGAGAAAGTGGCACGTGGGAAAATTTCGTTGAAATACGCGCGTTTCTCTCTCTCTCTCTCTCTCTCTCTCTCTCTCTCTTTCTCCCTCTCTCTCTTTCTCGCGTTCAAAAATGTTGTTGGAATTTCGTTTTGCTATTTCTCGTTTGGTTCATCTACACGACGTGAAGATAGCAGATTATGGAAGAAGATAAGGCTCGAGTAATTAGTGAATGTTGGATTATCGCATGCGAATAATTAAAAAAAAAAAAAAAATAAGGAATTATTCTGTAAAAAAAGAAATTTGAATTACGGAGCGTATGATGATTCGAGTGGACAATAACGTGAAAAAGAAGTTGAAGTAAGTTGGGAAGACGAGTATTCCGATAATTGGATCAGACGAACGAATAAGTAGAACGATACTTGGACAGAAACGGCGAGCTATGTAGAGAGAATCAACGAAGGAAATTCCATAAGTATTCGCAAACGTACTTCAAGCCGAAAATCTACAGGGAAATATTCTTTCGTATCATGGTTTAACAGTGGTGAATACATTTCGAAAGAGAAACCGAGAAAAGTTTGATAAGTAGCGTTAGAGTTTCTGATAGTGGGAATAATTAATTTGTGCTAATTAACACCCCCAGGACAAAGAGAGCAAACGGGAGAACAACCGAAAGAAACAAAAGAGAGAGAGAGAGAGAGAGAGAGAGAGAGAGAGAGAGAGAACAAGCGACAAAGAAGAGTTCAGTTTCAATTTTAGCAACTATTTTAGCAACAAGAAAAGAAAAATTTTTCAATTTGCAGTAAAAAGAAAAAGAAGAAATAGAAGAAAAAGAAAAGGACGTTTCACGATCGTTATAGGATAAAAATACACGAGAGTTTGTATGGGCGTATTTATAGGAGGGATAGCTGTGATGAAAAATTAAGTAGTTTCAATTAACAATGAAGATTAGAAATTACGTCGAGATATCGTAAAGATATCTTTCTCTTTCAGGGAAGAAAGTAAAAATAAAAAAAGGTAAAGAGGGAGAAAAGTGGCCGTAATAGAAAAGTTAAAATTGCAAATCCTAGGAGTTTCATCGTCCTAGGTAAAATTACAGAAGAGGGAAACCTTAATAAAGAATCCAATAAGTTCAATTACTACTTGGATTATAAATTACGAGAAAAGAGGAGAACGGTGTTCCGAGGTCAGCTCTTTTCTCTTTTCTTTTCTTTTCTTTTTTTTTTTTTTGTTTTTTCTTTTTCTTCTCTTTGAAAGACAATCGGTCCACGCGAAAGCGTCGTAGATTTTTCTCCGGACAAATGTCAAGTGAACGATGAACCACTCGAGGGTGCAGGTGCGCAAGTGGGCCGCCACTTTGGTAGGTGAATCGTGCTCCAGGTGCGGAAAGTGTCTGACTAAAATGCAGCTGATACTACTGGCGGTGCTACTCTACTCCTCACCGACGACAGGTGAGACGACTTTAATCTCGTCGAGGTGATCCCAAGTTCCCTCCCACTCTTTCTTTTACCTTCGTCTTCTCATCCTTCTTTTTCATCTTCTCCTTGTTCTTCTTCTTCTTCTGCTTCTTCTTTTATTTCGCTTCTTCTTTTTCTTCTTCTTCTTCTTTCATTTCTTTCTTTTCTCCCCTTTTCTCCTTCGTTTCCTCTTCTCTTTGACTCTTTTTATCTTCAAAGACCATTTACATTCGTCTTTGCCACACTCCATTACATCCTACTCAGACGTAACCCAAACTTTTTTCTTACTTTTTTTAGAATTAATGTTTTCCTCAGCTTTGTTATTCGAAATCGATAAAATATAATCGTGTTAAATGTTTATTTAAATCTTCAAACTATAATATAAAAAATATAACAAAATTATTCGAACTTATCTAAAATTACAATTAAAATTTTATACCTTATTACGTTGTTCATGCGAACATAACGATTCAATCAATTTCAAAAGCACACGCTCGAAAGTTAATAATATATTGTAATACATTTCCTCTAATTAAAAAACGCAGTAACGAAGGGAAATCGTGAGGAAAGTTGAGAGCGTGAAAGAAAAAAAAATATAATTATATCATGTTCATTCATTAATTGGTTTATCCATTCTCTTCAAAGTACTAATAAATCCAGAAAATCAAAACCGATTGCAAATTTCAAATAGAACGATATTCGAAATAATTCTTTAACGCGTAGGTGGTATATCGTAAAAAGGAAAAAAAAAGCATATTTACAAGTCGTCGAACGAATTCATTAAATTGATAAAAAATGAAAAAGTCGAAGTCGTGTGTAATCAACGTATGAATAACTCAGACTTTTATAGGGCGCCTTCAATTATGAATATCGAACGAATACTCATAAATTGTAGGCACTACACTATTGTAAGGAAGAAAAGAATAGAAACCGACGAAGGTAATAGACTGCTAAATAGTTGTCTCTCTAACGTTTAAAAGAGAAAAAGTGTGAGGGAAAACGTCGTTTTATTGACGGTTGAAAAAAAAGAGAGAAAGAGAAGAGAGAGAGAGAGAGAGAGAGAGAGAGAGAGAGGAGAGAGAGAGAGAGAGAGAGAAAAGAAATAGAAATGGAAAAATCTGCGGGCAGTGATCGTGAGAAAAGTTGCATGAACGCTGACGAATGCCGCCGTCGTGTACGCGAAACCAGGAGGCGATTATGCAAACGGCAGCCAATTCGATTGAAGTGCACCGCAAATAACCGCAGTTTTACCCCATTCGACTAAATGCGCGCGAGAGGCCTGCTCGGACTATCGCCCATTAGAATATCATCCACACACATAAGCCCTATGCAACGCCTCCGAATTCTCCATATACGTTCTCTGCAATCTCGCTCTCTCTCTCTCTCTCTCTCTCTCTCTCTCTCTCTCTCTTACTCTCGCTGTACACGTACAAGTACGCGTAGAATATTCACGGATGAGGACCATTAATTTCGTATCAGTGATCTGCTCCACGATTTCCGTAGCGTTCCCTTTGTGATTCTACCCGCGAATTTATCCCTTATCGGATTGATATTATCCTTGATAGCGGAGCGTGTACGAAAAAGCAACGGTTACACGGCGATTGACCCTATGCGCTCGATTCTACTACATTTTATTTACGTTTCAATTGCAATTTATCGAGTCGTTCGCGTGACTTTTCGATTGTTCCTTTTTTTTTCTTTTTCCTTTTCATCCATGTTTCTTCTTATTTTACAGATTTTTATCCTGATAGTTTTTTTTTTTCTTTTTTTTTTTTTATTAAGAACTTTATAAATTTTCGTTAGAGTTAGTGTTTCGTTAGAGAACTGTTTTTTACTTCTTTTCTTTTTTTCCTTTATTGTTCAGATCGATTTGAAATAATTTTCAACGGTTTCTCACTGAAAGACTTCTTTTTGGTGCGTGGTATATTCGTTGGGTTTTTTGGAGCGTGAGATTCTAAAAAAAAATATACAAATTTCCATCTCCCACTCCGTTGATACTTTTAACGAGAAAAATCCAGCCTCGTATCGCACGGATTGAAGTTCAAGTGATTTCACCTGCGTACAACCCCCTACAGCACAAAACTCTATACGGATATCCAAGATAAGCGTTACATGCAAGAACGAACATACGCGTCGGACTTGCAGATCGATATATTAGTCATTAATATAAAAAAATACGAAGGATTACAGGCAAGTAACCTATAAAAGAATAATAAAGCAAAAAAGAAACAAATCTAGATTATAAACTACGTAGATGGGAATAAAATGAATTCCATTAACGAAGCAGTCACATTGCGCACGAGTAAATCCAACATTCGACCGACCTCGACCGCACGTCATAATTCTCCACTTGAAATAAAATAAATTGATTAACACAAATCGATTAACATAAATCCAATATAAAATAATTGACGAGCTTATTCAAACCTTCGTATTATGTTAATTAACGAATTACAGCTTTAAAATAGTATCGTTGTTCTATATACGTGAATGAATAGAACTTTAGTAAAAGATTTATATAATGCATGATTATTAATAATAATAATTTCAATTTGTATAAACGATTTTCACGTTTCATACGTAAATATTGATATTATTAAGGTTATCCGAAGATTACGGTGCCTGCAATATCCCATTTATTGTAGCGGCTATGTTCTCCGAGTAGGTAAATATATCTACGTGAACAAGGGTTTCGAGTACTATTTCAATAGAACTTAAATATCAACGTTCGTATATACAAATATTATACCTGTTCCATCCGGGAAACAAGCTTTGACTCGCTACTGTTTATATTCGAATTCTCGTTCGCGATCATTCGAAGGAGATACGGTACAGCGAATAGCCATCTATGTACATATGCACGTACATACATATATAAATACATACGCAAGTTTCATCGGTGGAAATGTTTCGTAAGCGTGATATAATAGATAATACTATTTTTTTGCCCTCTTTTCTTTTTAGTTTTTTTTCTTTTTTCTTGGTTTATTTGTTTCTTTCTTTTTTTCTTTTCTTTCACGAACTCACCGTAGCGTTACACGTATTTCATTTCGTATAAACAGAATCTGATCGAGACCTACGATTCAAGAGCTAAGTTTATCTGAAGAAGATAGACTGAAAGATAGAAGACTGGTATAAGAGAAAAT